AATCGGACATGACTGAATGGACTGCATCTATATAGAGAGATATAGATACAGACAGACCTGCAGCCAACCTTATAGTAGGAACTTCTTTTAAAAAAAACACAGATGTTAGGCTTAGGGTTTTGAAATCTGGCCCTTTCTGGCTTCCTTATTCTAGATCACAACCTGGGAACCTTCTTGAGTCCAGGACAACGAGCCCCACAAACCTGTTGCCACAGAGAAGCTTGTATAGCCAGTAAATGGCTTCCGTTGTGGATATGGACTGTCACAAAACACACCCAGCCTCAGAACTTTGGTTTTTGGTGTCCTTGGGGCTAAGAATGATGGGGAAATGAATCCAATGCCAGGGTTGCGCCTAGTTCTGGATTCCTAAATCTACAGCATGTTTTTTGGAAGCACCCATGGCCTATTAAGAGCTCTTCCATTATTTGTGGAACGGGAATTTGGACATGGTTGAGCTTGCCCAGGGAAAATCAGAAGAGAAGCAACTCCAGGGTACAAGCTCCTTGTTTGAAATAGGCTCAGCTCTTACTGAACCCTGTTTTCCTTTTTTCAGTGGGAGCCGAGCACCACCATGACATGCATAGATGGGAAGTGGAACAAGCAAGTCTCCTGTGAGCCCATTGACTGCAGAATTCCAGACCAGTATCATGTTTACCCAGCCACTTTTAACTGCAGTGAGGGGACCACCTTTGGCAAGAAATGCTCTTTTACCTGCAATCCTCCTGCCCAGCTGAAAGGTAAATTCTTGGGGAGGGTCGTTTTGTCAACTGGATCATGATGCTTTTGGGTGCCTGCAAATCTGTGTCCAAGGAAAAGACACAGCTTTCTGCGTGCCTTACATAGATGCTGCCTTATACATCCAAGATCTTCCATCCGCTGCCAGCAACTTTGCATTGTTCCAAATTCTGGGCCAAACATGATCCTCCAGTTTCCCTGAACCTTTCTTCAGCTGCAAGAGAAGCTCCCATTTTTCTATTTCAGTTTTGAGATACTTTCAGGTGTCTTTGAGTAGTGTTTCTGGACTTAATTTATTATTTCAGGTTGATAAAAGGGGGGGGGTTAATTTTGGGGGGGATAACTCCATTTCACGAAGAGTCGGACACGACTTAACGACTAAACAACAACAACAATAACTCCATTGTTCTTCAGCCTTGTTCTTTACCCTTATTTCTTGATCTGAAAGAGCACTCTTGGAGGATTTCTGATGTCGTCCTTTGAGAGTTAATGTAAGAGAAGGAAGCCAGGGAGGCTGCAAATCTCTGGAGAGAGGATGATATAAGGAATGACCAGAACTCATACAGGTGTCAACTGTTTCAATCTTAGTATTTCCATTCAGAACCTCAAATTATCAGATCAGGATTACTTCACTTCTTGCACTCACAACGTTCAGAGAGTCTACTGAATCATCCTTGAACTGAATCACCCTATTGAACCTTCACACAGCCCTTCTAGTCTCTTGCCCTTCTCAAGCTTTATTCACTCTGGGTTGTGTAACTTGCCTCTGAGCTCCATTTAATCACTGAAAGCAAGGGTGGAGAACTGCAGAATGGAATGACAATGAATCCAATGCCAGGGTTGCGCCTAGTTCTGGATTCCTAAATTCCTGTACTCTGCAGGACTGGAGCTGCTGGGTGTTGGAACTCAGTGAGGACCAAAAGTTTTCCTTCTCTAATTTGGAACCTGACTTATTATGAGTCTTGCTTGCTGACACAAATTGTAGCCCTTTGGTGGAATGGACCATCAATAGCATCAATGGACCATCAGTAGCAGTTCTGTTTTTGCTAATGGATGCCCACAGATACTTCCATGGATATCCTTTGAATGTCACAGTCAAGTACAAATACAAGCTGGAGCCTTCTGCATGAAGTCCTGTCTCCAGTGTCTAATTACTCCAGTGTAGCAGCTTTTCAGTTTTTTTATTCTGAAAGATGAAGCCAAACGCCCGGCCAATGTCAAACATACTCAAAACGGAAGCAAAAGGCAAGGCTAATGTTTTAAAATTCAGTCACTTTGTAGAACCTGCATATAGTGAGAAGCATAAAAGAAGGTTATTTGTTATTGCAGAAGTTTGCATAACATCGTTCACTGAGTAAACCTCAGTTATCTGGGCTTGCAAACAAATCACATGTTGACTTAGCATGATGTGCAAACCAGGTTAGAATCATGGCTCCAGCAAACCATGAAAAGTACAGTTGATTTGCACCTGGTATTGAAAGAGGGAAAAGTTTCCTGGCAGCTGTAGTGAACCATCTGTATTTCGTCAATATATTTGACAGTGACTCTAATTGAAAGGTTGAAGATGTAATGGTTTAAAGAAAGGTAATAAGGTTGATTAGTGGCTTGGAAACTTGGAGTTTTAAAGGGAATTTAAGGAACTGTAAACATTCTCAGTTCTTGAGAATAGAAGACTCAGGAAGGACACTTTTTAAGCATCAGAGAGGGAGGTGTCACACAGGAGAAGCCCAAGTCTTTTCTTTATTGTCCCAGAATGCAGAACTTGGAATAAAGGTCTTAAATTGCAGGAAGGCACTTTCTGGTTGGATGGTAGGAGGAAAAATGTCTTAAAACAAGAGCAATTAGATAGTGGAATAAGTGATCCAGGGAGATGGTGAGCTCATTTTCCATGGAGGTGACCAAGCAGAAGCTGGACAGCCATCTATTAGGAATCCTTTAACATGGATTTTCACAGTGAACAGAAGGTTGGACATGGTGGCACCAATGGGCCCTTCCAACAATTTGGTGATACTGAGAATGAGCAGCAGCAGCAGCAAGGATAAAGAAGTCACAAAGGTGGAGAAGCAGTGGCAGAACAGGTGGTGGAAGAAGAGAAGGAGGAGGAGGAGAAAGAGAAGGAGAAGGAGAAGGAGAAGGAGAAAGAGGGAGAAGGAGGAGAAGAATGCTGGGGTGTGACTAACAGTGATCAGCCAGTGAGCTGCATGTTGGGACAAGAGGCAGGGATGACTCACTCCAAATTCAATCACCAATGTCACACCAGCCACTGTTTCTTAATGTCACAGTTCATCACCCTGCCGAAACAAGCATGAGATCATCCATGCTGGACTGTGGACGTGCTGGGTGAGTCAGACTGGAGAACGCAAAGCAAACTGGCTCAGGGAAGGAGTATTTGAAACCGTCCAAAAATACCTCAACAGCTCAACGCAGTCAGGAAGATGTAAAGGTTGTTTTTCTTCTCCCTGCAACTCCTGTTCTGGATTCAGGAAGTCCTCTTAAGCATTTTTCTATCATTGATGTCGTCTATGGTGGTCTTCAGCAAGAGAAATTAAGGTCCTCCCAGGCACAGAAAATTGCAATGCAATCTGGTGTAGGTTTACTCAAAGCTTGTTCCCCATTATTTTTGACTGAGCTTGATTTCAAGAACTCTGGGTGAATGCAACTTTAGTGAAGAGAATGGAGAAAAGAAAGCATCAGGTGGAGAGGAAGTCCTTGTGCCTCCAAATCAAGTGTGGGACAATAAACCAAAAATTTGCTGTGGCGCTTAGGTGCCTATGACATTTTCTTTCTTTGAACATGCTCTGAGATTTGGGGTTTTTAAAATTATTCTTTGTAAAGGGAAAGAAAAAGTTGGAGGAGATTTTTTAAAAGAGGGATGTTTGGACCATCTGAGGGTGATTCTGAAAAGAAGATAGTTGGGAAATCTGAAATGCAGGGGGAAAAATAGGATGGAGGAGATTTTCATAACGCATCCTTGGAGGATATGGCCTCAAATTTGCCAGTTTCCTCAGCATAACTATGATGCCAAAATCTACCTTTAATTTCCACACACCCAGTTTCTTCCCTGGCAGATAAGTCTTTTGCTTTTCCACCTCATTTTCAGGGTGCTTTAGAACTTCTTTGATGGTTTTAAAGTATTGTTTTAAGGTAGAAAGTACTTCTCTCTCTCTCTCTCTCTCTCTCTCACACACACACACAGACACACTTTCCCTTTCTTCTTGGTTACTTCTTGCTCCATCACTCTCTGGGCTCCATCATTCTCCAGTCCTTGCTTCTTGACCTGGAAAAGCCACCAGGGTAGAAGTTTGCCTTTGGAAAGTCCAGGAAGACAAGGAGGTTGCAGACAGCAAGGCAACGGACTGTACAGTGAAAGACAGAGCATTTGTATCTCAGAGAAATATAACCCACCTGTGAGAATCACACTGAAACTTGCTTTTCTGTCCCTCTGAAGGAAGCTGGTTGAACAAAATACCATTTTTTATTGATTTATTTACTTTGGCACAGCAGTATTTATAACCACTTGCACCCATCTGACATTGTTTTACGTCTTTCCCAGGAAGCAATAACAATTTGACATGCTTGGAAGATGGGCTGTGGTCCTTCCCGGAAGCTCTTTGTGAGCTGATGTGCAGGGCACCCCCTTTGATTCCCAACGCTGACCTCCAAACTGCCCGCTGCCGTGACGAGAAACATAAAGTGGGATCCTTCTGCAAGTATAAATGCAAACCAGGCTATCACGTCCCAGGACCTTCACAGAAAGCAAGAAAGTAGGTGGTATCATGTCAACGTTCCCTGCATTCTTTTGTAGGCCATTGTTTAAGACAAGTAATGGATCATTGTAGACCATCCTGGGGTCCTCAAGCAGGACAGTGGGAAGTGATTTAGGGAGCTGTCGTCCAAAACATCTAGAAGGTAGTGTAAGGTGTCCATCAACCAAATAGCACATTTTTCAGCTTAGATGGCACACACTTACAATCCAACCTTCCTGGGAGGGAACTAATAAGGGGTCATTGTGAACAAACAGTGTTTCTATGAGTCATAATGTTCTTATTGTAGAAGATCAGACTATGCTAAACCATGATTTGTTTTAGGCATCATTTGTTAGCTAATCCTTCACTGCCTGGGTTCATATTGGACCAAAAGCCATTCACCTTATCTTACGAACCACAGCGGCTGGGTTTGCACAACACACCAAGCCGAAACTGAACAATCCCATGTTATAGCTTAGCACGCTATGTGAGTTAAGTCTCTATGTGTAACTATTTTCTAGCCCTCAAGGGTTTCGGCTGACTTCTGAATCTTCTGCATTGGATGGACGATTCTGCTTCGAACTTTCTGTCTGCAAAAAGAATTTGCCCCAAATCTGAGTGATAGCCCCTGGCGCAGAAGCAGCTAGCATAGCAGACATAACCATTCCAGTCTAGCCATTTCCTGATATGATAGTTTGATGCTTGTTTGCTTTATTTTATTTTTGGACATAGAGGGAGGCATAAAAGAAAATTCCTAAACTCTGCATAGGAGCTGACGAAGAACATCTACAAGGTCCCCCCCCCCCCCCCCCCCCCCCC